TCTAATTATTTAGAATTTCGCTTATGCAGCAGGCTCTCAATGTTAACAATAAAAGAGCAATACAGTCAGAAATTACATTTTTTTTTTATCTCAGATGAGATGAGGGAAGTAAAACAAAGAATATATTCTGAAAGCACCTGGAGGATATATAAAGTTCTACTCCATAGTCCAGAATTGTAACTGGTTAAAGTAGTTTCCAACCTTAAGTGTACTTGTATGTGTGTGCGTGTGTGTTGTGTATACACGCCTGTGCTTTCATGTGTTTAACACCCCAGTTAATACTGATATACAGAGTTTAAACCCACTGAGGAGAAAAAGCAGTAAGAAGCTGTGCTGTAGAAAAGTAGGACACAACCCAACATCAGAGGATCTGTTATGAACTTTAGGGAAGGTCTTAAACTTCCTTAAGTCTTAGGGTGATCATGTATAAAGTGAGGACTGTTGTCTGGGCATTAATTCCCATAACAGACGGGATGATCCTTAGAAAATCACTTACAGTAAAGGGCACTTACTCACATGACCCAACAGTGAATGCTACCTAAATCAAGTCCCCTACTCAAGTTTTACGGACTCCAAATAGGACAAATGATAGTCTATATGCATTGGACATTAATTACCCCAGACCCCCAAACCAAGCATCTTACTAATACTCCAATGTGGGTGAACACAAAGAAATTAGTCTACTCAGAATCTTAACTTGTTCAATCCAGATTGGACTGGTGCTTCTTATAGATTTGAGGGTTAAACAGGAAAGGATCTGAGACATGAACAACAGCTCCTGTCTCAAGGTAAGAATTTAGAAAACATTCCCGGGACCTGAAATAAGTAGCAGAACGGTCAGGTTTCCTTACCTTCCAGCTCAGAAGCCAGAAGTGTCAGTGATGGGATAAGGTCGTAGGAGAAGAACCAAAAGTGGCTCAAGGATTTTTAAGTTTCTTCTTCCAGGAGGACAAAGGGACAAACTCATCAGAACAAGCTTTAAGATTTTGTCGACACCACCGGCCCCACCCTGGCTCCAATGTATGCTCAAAGGAGAGGCATACAGCATTTTATTTAAGGTCTGGAGCTCTGAAAGGGAGCTGGGCTACTTAATAGTCACATTGACTAAGAAAATTGTGCTTTTATTCTGCCGTTTTCTCATCTCTGAATAACAATAAGAGATCCCCCTCCATTGAGTTATGGGCATCATTTTGACACAAGTAGGTGTTATAGTACAATGCCTGGCACATACACCTTCAACGTGCAGTGCCTGAGATATAAAATCTACCTCTAAGTAGATGAGTTGAGTACCCAGGGAATCCTCCATGACACCTAAAGGAAAATGTTCTCGCAGACTGGAGCTGATCTAGAATGTCTGGTCAATCATAACCATTGATAACACAACCACAGACCCCCAGTTTTTCATGGAAGAACTTGGGCAGAGCCTGTGAAGATGAGAGAAACTTAGGGAAGGGACGGTTTTGCATTACTCACTCCAGAGTTTCCAAGGCAGAAGCTAATTTCATCTCAAGGATGGGACCGCTGACAGAGAGCCTCAGCTTACGGAACTTTTGACAGTGCTTTAGGCAAAAGGAAGAAACCTGGAGGCGCTGATACCCATGAATGTCGAGATCAGCTTCAAGGAGGTGATTCAAAATCTGCCTTATAAAATTTTCATCCTGAGTCTCACATAAGCACTGGAAGAATTGTAGGAATCCGAAGTGGACTGAGACAGCATCATGCTTCTCCAACCCTTCTGCCCAATCTAATAATTCGTCCATTACCCTGGGAGACATTTCACAGCGTAAAGTATCTTCTAGCTCTCTTGCTAGGTCTGTATTTAAAAGACCAAAGGATAAAAGAGCCATCTGATGCCAGCAGAAGTTTGTGTTAGCAAAGGCATCATTCAGGAACACCCTCATCTCTTGATGCTTTGAGGGACCACCAAGGGATCCTCTTGTTCCCCAGAGCACATAAAACATGGCCCCCCAAAATGCCTGGAAACCTTGGTGAGTGAAAGAAATGCACTCTTCACAGTCACTGACCTTTCGAAGAATATTCAACCTCAAGAGAGAATCAGTAAAAGAGGCTTCCAGATGCCCTTGTTCCATGACCTCTTTTGCAAATGTGAAGTTTGAGAATCACACCCCCTCTGCAGCCAGAGAGCACAAGGCTCTCCACTGTTCCGGCAAGCTCTGATATGACAAGCTCACCTCCACTGTGGCAAAGAAGCTGCAGAAAAAATAGGCATGGATGCTGGTGGTGCTCTGTGTGGCCAGCCGGAAAGAAGGATTACTTGCCGTCTGCCACTTCAGGCTAGGACACACAGTCCAGCACACCAGGGGGGCAGAGCAGGAATCAAAAAGAGTTTCCATTTTTCTTCACCAATTCAAGATTTTATTAGCTTTGTCTAGGTCACCAAAGAACTTGATGAAATACTCCTCCCGGTCTCCCTCTGTGAACCCTGAGACGACAACCGATTCTCTCCCCAAGCTTCATGGATTCACTAACAAATCTTTAAGATCTTGATTACCATAGTCTCTGGTCGTTATCAGTAAGGTAGCTGTGGGAACCAACTCCTTCTTCAACACGTGGAGTAGGATTCTGACCACTGGGAGCTGCTGGTACCAGTCTGTACAGGACGGGCTTTCGTACAAGTTGGAAGACACAGTCATTTCTTCAAAGCCATCAATGACAAACAGGAGCCTCTCAGGATGACTCCTGAACTCTTCAATGGGGACCTGAGAGTCAGGCCAGGCCCAGGAAAGCAGGCAAGCAAAGGTGGAGTTCACAATCTCTCCCACTGCATGGCAGCGGATGTAGAAAACATAGGAGAACGGGTGCTGAAAGAGTATGCCCTCCTCCCAGTGTAGCATGACCTTCAGGGCCAGGGTAGTCCTCCCAACACCCGCCAGGCCCTCCAATGCTGTCGTCGGTGGCTGGGCTCCAGGCCGGCTCGGATGCAGTAGTCTCCCGAGCTCTCTGGGTCCCTGCTCCACCGTGTTGTGGAGATATATGTGGTCATCAGGCCAAGGGGTGCTGTCCCACAGAACCAATATTTTCACCCTCATCTTCTCTCTGTATCTTCTGTGAGCTAAAACAGAAGGGGGGCAAAAGAGATGGCCAAAAGGCACACGAAAGGATACTCAATACTGTTAATTATCAGAGCAATGCAAATCAAAACTATAACGAGTTATCACCTCACACCAGCCAGAATGGCCATCATCAAAAAATCTATAAATCTATAAAATCTATAAATAATAAATGCTGGAGAGGGTGTGGAGAAAAGGGAACCCTCCTACACTGTTGGTGGAAATGTAAATTTGTGCAGCCACTATGGAGAACAGTATGGAGGTTCCTTAAAAAACTCAAAATAGGGCTTCCCTGGTGGCACAGTGGTTGAGAGCCTGCCTGCCGATGTAGGGGACACAGGTTCGTGCACCGGTCCAGGAAGATCCCACACGCCGCGGGGCGGCTGGGCCCGTGAGCCATGGCCACTGAGCCTGCGCGTCCAGAGCCTGTGCTCCGCAGCGGGAGAGGCCACAGCAGTGAGAGGCCCACGTACCGCCAAAAGAAAAAAAAAAACTCAAAATAGAGCTACCATATGCCCATTCCTGGGCATGTATCTGAAGAAAACCATAATCTGAAGAGATACATGCACCCCAATGTTCACTGCAGCATTATTTATGATAGTCAAGACATGGAAGCAACCTAAATGTCCATCAACAGAGGAGTGGATATATATATATATATGTGAATCACTGTGCTGGATAACTGAAACTGACACAACATTGTACATCAACTATACTTCAATTTAAAAAGAAAGTGGAATTCAAGATTAAATGGAGTCCCAGGATGGCAGCTACGTGGCAACCGATATGGAAACTGTCTAGAAATTATGACAAGGGAGCCAACTGATTCCTTGATATGTTTGATGGTGTTATGCTTCCCAAAGAACTTTGGGATGATGTAATGGTAGTTGCACAGAAAGTTAAAACAAAACACAGCAATGACTACCTCAAACAAAAATAGAAAATGGGGGCTTCCCTGGTGGTGCAGTGGTTAAGAATCTGCCTGCCAATGCAGGGGACACGGGTTCAAGCCCTGGTCCAGGAAGATTCCACATGCCACAGAGCAACTAAGCCTGTGCGCCACAACTATTGAGCTTGCGATCTAGTGCCCGAGTGCCACAAGTACTGAGTCCACGCACCACAACTACAGAAGCCTGAGTGCCTAGAGCCTGTGCTCTGCGATAAGAGAAGCCACTGCAATGAGAAGCCCATGCGTCACAATGAAGAGTAGCCCCTGCTCACCGCAACTAGATAGAGCCCACGAACAGCAACGAAGACCCAACGCAGCCAAAAATAAATAATATTTTTCTTTTTTTTTTTTTTTTGGATTATGGGGGCCTCTCACTCTTGTGGCCTCTCCCGTTGCGGAGCACAGGCCCCGGACGCGCAAGCTCAGCGGCCATGGCTCACGGGCCCAGCCATTCCACGGCATGTGGGATCTTCCCGGACCGGGACATGAACCCATGTCCCCTGCATCGGCAGGCGGACTCTCAACCACTGCACCAGCAGGGAAGCCCAATAAACTAAATAAATTTTTTTTAAAAAATAGAAAATGGTTCCCCCCAAAAGCCATGTGTAGTGGGCTCAATAGTGACCCCCCAAAAGATATATCCACATCTGAATCCCCAGAACCTTATGTGACAAAAGATGTGATTAAGGACCTTGAGAGGAGAAGCTTACCGTGGATTGCGCCCAATGCAATCAGATGTATTTCCATAAAAGAGAGGCAGAGAGAATTCTGAGACAAAAGAGGAGGCCATGTGACCACAGAGGTGGGAATTGAAGTGATGCTCCCACAACCCCAGGAATGCCAACAGCCACAGGAAGCTGGAAAGACGAAGGACCGATTCTCTCCCCAAGCTTCTGGAGGAAGCACAGCCCTGCTGACCCCCTGGTTTTGGACATTTTCTCTTCAGCACTTAGAAAATAAACTTCTATTGTTTAAGCACCCAGTCTGTGTTAGTTTATTACAGCAGCCCTAGAAAATGAACACAGCATGTAATCCTGATTAATTACATGGGTCAGCATTGACTTATATCCACATGACACTCAATACCTGTTCCTCCAAATCATACTTTTATTGGAGGATACATGAGAAGAGATACTTACCTGCCATGATGAGTCAGCAGGTAATTGATTGAAAACCCAAGAAATGGCAGTATATGTTAATCACTTATGAACATAGAAATAAACAGCCGAAGTGGCAGCCAAGAGAGGCTGTGGTCGATTCCACAGAAGTCCAGGGTTGGGCGAAGGATCAATGCTTCTCATTGCAAGTTTTGCATTTTCTGTGATTCTTTTTGGATTATACACAAGTACAGCATGTATTTCTTTGATGCAACTTAACTTGTTCTATCACAGTAGGTATTAGTTTGTCCGTGTGAAAAATCTCCATGGGGCCACCAATACAAAAAAATACAGCTACATTACTCACAATAGCCAAAATATGGAAGCAACTTCAGTGCCCATCAACAGGTGAATGGATAAGGAAGATGTGGTACATATACACAACGGATTATTACTCAGCCATAAAAAGAAAGAAATTTTGCCACTGTAGCAACATGGATGGACTTGGAAGGTATTATGCTCAGTGAAGTAAGTCAGACAGAGAAAGACAAATACTATACAACATCACTTATATGTGGCATCTGAAAAATGCAAAAAACCTAGAGATAGTAACAAAAACGCAGCAGACTCACAGATACAGAGAACAAACTAGTGGTTGCCAGTGGCGAAAGGGAAGCAGGGCGGGCTAGTAGAGAGGGCGGGGGGTGGGGTGTACAAACCATTGTGTGTGAGATAGGCTACAAGGACGTAGTGTACAACACGGGGAATATAGCCAAGTTTGTAATAACTGTAAATAGAGTGCAGCCTTTAAAAATTGTGGAAAAAATAAAAATAAAAAAAATACACACACTTATTAATGCCACACAAAGACCAGAAACAGACACTGGTATCTCAGACCTTGGAGGGGACCCAGAGGAAATGTCCAGTTTATGGTAACCTATTCCTCAGTAGGCAGCACAGGAAGAACAGATTGGCAAGTTTCTGGCAGACTATAAATTGAAGACAGTTTCAAAGGAGGTGGCCAATGTGGAACCCATAAAACGAATGCTCCATCAAGCAATTTGTCTGTAATCATCACAAAGTAGTAGCCAAACCTGTTTCTTCTTCCAGCATCTCTGGTTCTTCTTGGTTTGGATCTTGGGGTCCCCATACCTGTGCCATCTCTGAAATAAAACAGTGATGATGGGGTAGTGAGATTTCCCCTGGCTGAAAAAAGTTAATAATGGGGTTTCCCTGGTGGCGCAGTGGTTGAGAGTCCGCCTGCCGATGCGGGGGACACGGGTTCGTGCCCCGGTCCGGGAAGATCCCACATGCCGCGGAGCGGCTGGACCCGTGAGCCATGGCCGCTGAGCCTGTGCATCCGGAGCCTGTGCTCCACAACAGGAGAAGCCACAACGGTGAGAGGCCCGCATACCGCAAAAAAAAAAAAAAAAAAAAAAAGTTAATAATGATGGATGGTCTTAGTAGAACCAACCATTTCTCTGACAGACTTGGAATTGAAGAGACTGAAAATCGTTATCTTCAAGCCTCATCAACCCAGCTACTTTGGAAACATGCTACTTTGCAAAGACCACAGCACACATTAAGAGCACATCCCTGCCTGGGGGCCTTGATGCAGCCAGCCTCCTGTCTGGAACGCTCTCCCCCCAACCCCAATATCCACTTGGCTCATTCACTCCCTTCCGAGTCTCTGCTCGAATCTTAGCGCCTCAGTAGTGCCTGATGGTCCCGATCAACACTGCACCTGATTCCTGAAGCACACACCTTAGGCAGACCCCACCTGCCCTCCCCACCACTGTCCACTGCATTTGTCACCTTCTAGCACACCCTATAATGTACTTATTCATCACGTCCATTACCCGTCTCCCCACACCGGAGGAGGAGACCGGTAGCCAACCTGTGTTTGTTCACTGATGTACCCCAAGTGTGAACAGCAATGCCAGCACACAGAAGCCACTCTAATATTTTGGAAATAAAATGCCACGGAAGAAAAGCACCGAGAAATGGTCTAACCCCAGCCCCCTGATGTGTTTCACATAACCACTCACAAAGTCCTATTCTCAAAAACTAAAAGGACCCCTTCCATGTCTCCCCATGCACCATATGATCCAGCAATCCCACTCCTGGGCGTATTATCTAGAGAAAACCATAATCCAAAAAGACACATGCACCCCAATGTTCATTGCAGCACTATTTACAATAGCCAGGACATGGAAGCAACCTAAGTGTCCATCAACAGATGAATGGATAAAGAAGATGTGGTACATATATGCAATGGAATATGGCTCAGCCATAAGAAGGAATGAAATCATGCCATTTGCAGAGACATGGATGGACCTAGAGACTGTCATACAGAGTGAAGTAAGTCAGATGGAGAAAGACAAATATCATATATCACTCATGTGTGGAATCTAATGTTTTTAAAAATGGTACAAATGAACTTATCCACACAACAGAAACAGACTTACAGTTATCAAAAACAAACTTACGGTTACCAAGAGAGGGAACACTGTGGAGGAGGGATAAGTTGAGGAGTTTTGGATTGACATACACACAAGATAGATAACCAACAAGGACCTACTGTATAGCACAGGAAAATCTACTCACTATTCTATGATAACCTATGTGGGAAAAGTATCTAAAAAAGAATGAATATATGTACAGGTATAACTGAATCGCTTTGCTGTACACCTGAAACACTGTAAATCAACTATACTCCAATAAAATTAAAATTTAAAAAAAATCAGAAAGTACAAAAAAAAAAAAGCTGGGCTGTTCCAAATGAACAGCCTGGAATTTAAATCTAATTTCTTAATAAAAAAAAAAAAAACCAGTTCTCACTTCCCTTTGGCCATCTATGGAAGCCTGTTGAACTAAAGATTCACCCCTTCTCCCATATCTGATGAACTAGTCTTGGTGGGGTGGAGGGTGTGTACAGTGAGATGCTAAAGACCCTCCCACTTCTGATACTGCCTGTCTGGCATCATCGTCAGTGATGATGTAGGATCTGGAAACCACCAGGGAAGGCGATACCGTTAAGAGAAAAACTGTCCCAAAGATGAACAAATGATTGAGAATCTACACTGAACCCAATGCCTTGTAAGTTTTCACCCTAGAAACTCAGTTAGGTGCAGCTAGCTGTTTTCAATAAGAGAGAACGGGGCCCCGTGGTACATAATTTGTCCTGGGTTACAGTTGGTGACGTGGAACCAGCCTTTGAATCCAGCTCCGTTGTTAAAAACTGAACTCTTAAACCCATAGTCCCTAAAAGACAGCACACTTGTGCCTATGAACATGTGCATTCACAGACTCAGTCACAAATCCCTCTGCCACAGCACCATTCAAGCACAGAAACTCTCACTGTGCCATGTTTCCTAGAAGGTGGAGCTGATGGGGGCATCAGTTATCCTGACCTGTCCACCGTCCCTTTACATCATCTCCCACATTGCTGTGGGATGGGTGTGGTCTAGGGCTTCCTCCTGCTTAGGAGGTATCTTCTGCAAGCCCCACCCCTTTAGAAGGCCAGGTGGGAACCAGGTAAGGACTGGGGAAAAGGGGCTCCTGCAGCTTCAAGCAGGGCATTGACGTTGCCAATTAGGACCAGTGGCCAGGAGGGAAGTTCTTTCTTTAATGTCATTCTCCTCTGTGCCAATGTCTCTCTCCGCGATGGCCAAATGGGATTTAAGGATTCTAGATCCCATTCCCAAGCTCTCTGCTCAACATCTACCTATTCCAGACAACCATATGTAAGGGATTTATGAAGGGGAGACGGGAGGAGAGGAAGACGGAACTGAAGATGCAGGGAAATTGAGTCCCCATCCCCTCGGCCTGCCCAGAAGATGCTCGAAGCCTGAATTTCTGTGACTCAGAACCTCCAATGCCCAAAGCTCTGATGGGGAAGACTTCATGTTGCCAACTCCCATCCCATTCCTTGAACTCATGCTCTCATTCTAGGGCAAGAGAAGCAGTACATGGTCAAGCACAGAGGATGTGGAGACCCACTGCCTGGGTTCACATCCCACCTCTGTGACCTTGGGCAATTTACTTGAGCTTTGTGCCTCAGTTTCCTTGTCTGTAAAACAGGAATAACAGAGCCCCCCTCTTATGAGAGCGTGAAAAGTCAGTACCGATGCACAGAAAGCATTAAGATTAGTGCCTGCCTTGTAACAGGCACCAGCAAAAGTTATTAATTTCTACAGGTCTCAGACGCAGCCAGGTCTGCCAGAAAGTGACATATGCATCCCTCAAACTCTGCAGTAGGTAAAGTCGCAGGCAAAAACCAGATGGAAAACGGGATCCGTGATACGTTTTAAAAAGACAAACAATTAAGATGGTAGTGCAGTTTTATACTTGCTAACTAACTACGAAACACATGACTGGTATAATAAATACTGCAATGCTACAATAAATACTACAATATTACAATAAATAAATGAATACTACAGCCGGGTACAGTCTCGTTGTGGGTTTTTTGTTTGTGTGTTTTTGCGGTACGCGGGCCTCTCACTGTTGTGGCCTCTCCCGTTGCAGAGAACAGGCTCTGGACGCGCAGGCCCAGCGGCCATGGCCCACGGGACCAGCCGCTCCACGGCATGTGGGATCTTCCCGGACCGGGGAACAAACCCGTGTCCCCTGCATCAGCAGGCGGACTCTCAACCACTGCGCCACCAGGGAAGCCCTCGTTGTAGGTTTTTTTTTTTTTTTTGCATTTACCTCTTTAGAAAAAATCATGCATAAGCAAACATGAAATTCCTGTGGTGAGCAAATCATCCCCTAGTGCAACCATTGCACTGGCACAAATTTGCATTCTCGAAAGCAACCTTGGAACAGAACTAGATATGCACATTTCAATTCCCTCTTCTTGCTTTTGATCACCATCCTCTCCGAGGCTAGAGCTCCAAGCTCTCACAGCTTTCGTACTTTTAAACTTTCACTCCCGGCAGGGAGAGTCTTTCTTAGGGGGAGACCAGCAACTTGGAAGGACCCCATAGAAATCCAGCAGCAACCTTCCTGCTCCCACGAGCACCAGGAAGCTATCCCCCGCACAGACCCACTCACCATTCATCTCTGCTCTCATTTGCTCGTATAGCGAAGCCAGCTTCATGTGCTCAAAGATGCGGAGGGTCCCGTCCCATATCTGCCCTACGGATAAATGTTCCTTCAACAGACCGAGCAGGTGAGTGGGCCTGATGGCTTTCAAGTTTGCCCAGGAGATCTACTGGATGTTCTCAGGCAGCAGCTGTGGGGACCGGAAGCAAAGTTTGAAATCCTCCAGCTGATACCGATCCCAGCCCATCAGGTGAGACAGTAGCTTATCACTGGAGCCATCACCTACAAAGACGCTAGGAGAAGTCATCTGGCCCAACATGCAAGGTTTCCAGCTTCATTCAAGAACGCTGACAGCCACAAAATGAATAGTACCTGTAGAAGACAGACAGCCAAGACCATGAACCATGACTTCCACCTCCTTCAAGACTGTCTAATCTAGTCGCGTGTCCTGTTTTCTCCTCACAGCACCTCCTGCTCTGTGTTTGTGTGGCTTATTTCTCTCTCTCTCTCTTCCACGTGAATGTCAAGTCGCTTTAAACACAGACCTTGCCTGTCCTAGGCTGTACCACCAGTGCCTAGAAAAGCACTGGACAGACATGAGGACCTCAGCTCTAAGGAGAAGGAAAAATGATACTGCTGGAAGAAATGTTCACGTCGTGAGGTACGGGGAGGTCCTCCTGGATGATACATGATTTGGCTTGAACTTGATGCTAGCTAGAACAGCCTGTCTTCGGGCCTGTCACACATACATTGTCCATCTGCTTTAACCATGAAGTGTGGCTCATCATCCAGTTATAGGAAGGGTTAAGTCTCACCCCTGGCAGTCTCCCACCATCAGTGCCCTGAAGGGAATTCAGGATGGGAAAAACAGGATGAAGCTTTCTCTGTTTTCATCTTCAGGCTCCTACATAGTGAAATGCATATCTAAGGAAGAATTTCAATGACCCCAGACTCTGGCATATTCCCATATATAGATAAACACTAAAATCAACTTGAGAGACCTGTTCTTTGTGATTAACAGTCATCTTTTACAAAGATGTATGATTGAATGCATGCATTTCCCAACCAAAAAAAAAAATCATATATCCTGGCCCCTCCTTTACCTCTTTGGAGAGTCCCCTCACAGCTACTGAGAGGCTGTTTCCCAGGCTATAAACCTCAGTTTGGCTCCAAAAATGTCTTCTAATCTTATTACAGATTGTTTATTATTTACATCAATACTAAGCACTTCCTATATACCATGAATTGTTACCCTCATTTCATTCTCTAAACAACCAGTCACGCAGTTTTGTTTACTAATTCTATTTTTTAAAATCTAAGAAAGAAAAAGAAATGGTCATGAAGAATCTAGGAGCAAATACGGGAATAAAGACGCGGACCTACTAGAGAATGGACTTGAGGATATGGGGAGGGGGAAGGGTAAGCTGTGACAAAGTGAGAGAGAGGCATGGACATATATACACTACCAAATGTAAAATAGATAGCTAGTGGGAAGCAGCCGCATAGCACAGGGAGATCAGCTCGGTGCTTTGTGACCACCTAGAGGGGTGGGATAGGGAGGGAGGGTGGGATAGGGAGGGAGGGTGGGAGGGAGGGAGATGCAAGAGGGAAGAGGTATGGGGACATATGTATACGTAGAGCTGATTCACCTTGTTATAAAGCAGAAACTAACACACCATTGTATAGCAATTATACTCCAATAAAGATGTTAAAAAAAAGTGAAAATGAAATAACATCTTCACAGTGCTGTAAAGAATAAAATACCCTGCCACTTAGAGTCTATGTCCAGTGAAAATATCCTTTACAAATGAGGGGGAAATAAAGAGATTTCCAATCAAATGCTGAGTAGCCAGGGGCCGCCGGGAGGTGGGAGAAATGGGAGATGTTAGTCAAAGGGTACACATTTCCATTACACAATGAATAATATCTAGGGATGTAATGCACACCTTCGTGGCTATGGTTAATAATACTCTACTGTATTCTTGGAATTTGCAAAGAGAGTAAGTCTTAAGTGTTCTCGTCACGAAGTCAACCATGTGAGGTGATGGGTGTGTTCATTAACTTGACTGTAGTGATCATTTCACAATGTGTATGTGTGTTAAATAATGTTGAATAGCTTTAAACATCATTTTGTACAACTTAGACATGAACAATGATTTGTCCACCTTAGCTCGATAAAGCCGTAAATTTTTAAACTTTTAAAAACAGAATTTATTGCCAGCAGACATACATACCACTAAAAACCGTCTAAAAACTTTTTCAGATGAAAGTATAGCAGCACAGAAGGAAAGAAAAAGCACAGAAGTAGCTGGTGTGTGAATCGATGTGAATGAATATTACCCCTTGACAACAACAACATCTTCTGGACTTTATAACATACGTAGTAAAATATGAAAACAATAACACAAAGGATGAAAGAAAGTAAATGAAACAACTGTTTCAAGGTTCTTGCATTGACTGTAGAGTCCGGATGTAATCTCAGGTCAACTACTGGTGAAAGATGAATATTGAACTCTCTGGGGCAACCACTCTAAGAATAAAAGAGTGTAACTAAGTTAAAGAAAAATGATATTACAAAGTATTTCGTTTATTCAAAAAACGGTGGAGGGCTTCCCTGGTGGCGCAGTGGTTGAGAGTCCGCATGCCGATGCAGGGGACACGGGTTCGTGCCCCGGTCCGGGAAGATCCCACATGCCGCGGAGCGGCTGGGCCCGTGAGCCATGGCCGCTGAGCCTGCGCGTCCGGAGCCTGTGCTCCACAACGGGAGAGGCCACAACAGTGAGAGGCCCGCGTACCGAAAAAAAAAAAAAAAAGGTAGAAAAGGAACAATAGAAAACAAGAAAATATACTAAATTCCAAATGTGTCAGCAATTATATAAGCATAAGGGGGCTAAACACTAAAGAAGACTTTGTCAAATTAGATAAAAAATAAAAGGTACACTTCAAGTACAAGAGCATAAAACGTTTAACATAAATTAATGGGGAAAATGCAGTGTGCACACCCCAACACGAAAAACATGGGTACAGCTATATCATTACCAAAATAGATTTTAAGGCAAAATTGTTACTGAATACAGCACACTTCATAACAGAATCAGTCCAGCAGGAAGATACAGCAAGTCTAAAATTTTATGTACCAAATAGTATAGCTTCAAAATATATAAAACGAAAAACAGAACTAAAAGAATAATTGGAGATTTAAACACACATCTCAATAACGAAGTGAACAAGCAGGGGGAGGGTTGGATTGGGAGTTCGAGATTAGCTGATGGAAATTATTATTCTATATAGAATGAATAAACAACAAGGTCCTACTGTGTAGCAAAAGGAACTATATTCAATATCCTATAATGAAAAGAACATGAAAAAGAAAGCATAAATAGGTGTAACTGAATCACTGTGCTGTAGAGCAAAAATTAACACAACGTTGTAAATCAACAATACTTCAATTTTCAAAAAATATTTCTTCAACCTTTCTGTGCGTGCCTAAGAATGACTTTGGAAAGCACCACAAGCACTGATATGGGGAGTTACAAATCAACTTTAGTGATCGGGTGAATTCAAAAGCATGGAATCCATGAATAGGGAAGATCAGCTGTAATTAGTATCATGTGTGTTGAGTGTAAGACGAGATCCCACAGGGTCCATGAGATTATATCGTGTAGAACAAGCAAGCCTAGGAAAGGGAATTATAAGAGACTTGAAGGATGCATCAGATTGAGGCAAGGAGGGTGGAAAGAGGGTTACAGGGCAGTGGTCAGTGAAAACAGGTGCAGAAACGCTGGAGGGAGAAAATACAGGAAGGGAGAAATTCAGCTGCAGTTTCTCAAAGACTTGTCGAATCTCCTGGGTCTAGAAAGTGGGAAGCTTCAAATGAACAGAGCAGAACCCTATGGTTCTTGCCCCCCATGTCCTCAGCCTGCCTTTTGTCTGTGGGAAAACTTTAGTCAAAGAATAAGTCTAATCAGAGAAGTAAAAAAGTGCAGAAACGAAGGAAAACACTCCAACAAAACTGCATAATAATCATTTAGTCTTTAAGCATAGTCAAGGACTTTAGTTCCTCCTTAAGGGCTATAAAGTAATATTCAGAGCCATATCCTGTGAGCTGTCTTGTAGATACTGAAATACCCACCAGGAGGAAGAAGTTAACTAGATGATGACCAGACTGTAGCCATGACATAAGCTGCCACAATTCTGAGAACTGGCCTCAGAGAAACAGGAACAAAATGACCCTGGACCTGAAGACTAACGGTACTTAAAACAATCAATGAAGCTGATCAGACCACGGATGACCAATTTCAACATGACTGTCAGAGGTGACTGTGCTGTTTCTGCATGTAGCCCCTCCCTCCATCTCTAAAAGCTCTTGCCCCTTGATTGTCAAGGAGGGGGGAGTCGGCCTTCGGACAGGAGTCCTCATTCCCGCCCCGCAGTTGCTGGCATGCAAAATAAAGCAGACTTCCCTTTCCACCAACCTTGCCTCTTTATTGGCTTTTGCGCGGTGAGCAGCCTGATCCCACTTTCACTTACAAGAGGACAGAGGTGCAACAGATTCCTGCTGATAAAGAAAACGCCAGCAACAATGACTCCCCACCTTCCGCTCCCCGGCCCCAAGCTCCTGGTAACCACCTTGCTAGTCTCTGCTTATAAAAGTCGGAGTCTTTTCTGTACCTCACAGACTGGAATCCTGCAGTATTTTCCTACTGGGACTGGCTTACTTCACCTAGGATAATGTTCTCCAGCGTCATCCATGCTGTCACAAATAGCAGGGATTTCCTTCTTTTTTAAGGCTGAATAAGATTCTATACGGACTTCCCTGGTGATCCAGTGGGTAAGACTCTGCGCTCCCAATGCAGGGGGCCCAGGTTCCATCCCTGGTCAGGGAACTAGATCCTACATGCCACAACTAAAAAAAAAAAAAAAAAAATCCCACATGCTGCAACGAAGATCCCGCATGTTGCAACTAAGACCCGGAGCAGCCTAAATAAATAAATAAATGTGCTTAACCCTGTTCTCATTAAAGTTAAAAAAAAAAAACAAAAAGAGATTCTATTGTATTTATCACCCATGGTGTTTCAGTTATGCAAGATGAATCAGTCCTGGGGATCTGCCCTACAGCAAAGGGCCCATAGTCACCAATACTGAACTGTACCCTGAAAATTTTCAGAGAACAGGTGTCATGTTAAATGTTCCCACTACACACACACACAGGACACAAAGAAACTTTTGGAGGTGCTGGCGATGTCTATTCCCTGATTGTTGTGTATGCCTGTGCCCAAACTCATCAAGTTACGTGCGTTACATACGTGCAGTGCTTTTTTCATATAGTAATTATACCTCAAAAAAGCTGGTTGTTTCTACCCACCCCACTACTTTAA